TCAGGTTTTGAAATTTAGCAGCATCAAATTAATACTAAGACATTATAACCAATATGGACATTTAGTAAAATATCACAAGAAAGGACACTGACATGTTAGCAAGTAAAGCTACAGTAGTTCACAGATCTAACTGGTAATGTACTATTGATTGGGAGACTTAATCACTTACTTGTGGTCACCTGTAGATAAATGAAAATAAGGAGAGATAAGTGAAATGAAAAGCCCCCCCCCCCCCCAATCTAACAGAGGGAGCCTACAATAAGCAATCAAGAAAGAAAAAGGAAGAAGACAAAAAAAGAGGGGGGGGGGGTGGAGGAAAGGGGGAGTGAAAGAACCAAGAGGCCTGTGTTAACCATGGCATGATAAATTATATATATATATAGTCAAAGCTCAAGAAAATGCACAATCAATTGAGAGGGTTGGAAAATGATCAAGCCAAGGCTGCCAAGTATGTAAAAATCTATCATGGGTAGCATTAAGGATCGTTGGTGGCTTTTCTTTAATCATTGTACCTTGTATGCGATGTTTTACCTCATCAAACCTGGGAATTGGTGATTTCCACACTTTTGCTATCGTCTGTTTTGTCACCATGAAAATATGGGTGATCAACGTTTTGCTGTCGACGAGTAAGCTGTTTCATTGGTTGATGCAAAACGCTTCCCAGGGTTTCTTTCATAGGTTAGTATGAAGTATCATATTGACCACTGTGTATACCCATATCCACAATCTTCTAACTCTAACTTAGGGTACATCCACCAGATGTGTTTCATATCTTCTAACTCCAAACAGCCTTAGAAACAAGAGGGAGAATAAGTAGATAGACAACATGCTATCCTGGCAGGAGTGTAATATCATTAAGACATAACTTTAAAAGAATTCTCCAAGTCCAGGACATTACATGGGGATTTAAACAGAGCTTCATATTTTTTTTTCCACGTTTTGGGAGGCAATGTAGTCACAAAGTCGCGCACCCAGCATGTACAGTATGTTGGGCCTGGACGTTGTTATTACAGTGGATAGAGGAATGGAATAACGATATTAGGCCTCTAGTCATTGGATTTGACTAAGGAATGTTTATGGTCAGGTTCCAGTCATAATTTTTAAGCGGGGATTCAACAAAATGATCAGTCTGAATGTAATGAAACCTCTCAGAATCCTATAGTTCAATAGGACTCTCTAAGTTGTTGGAAGGAATAGACAAACCTCATAGTTTTAAAGGAGTGAACCACTGTAAAACCATGATGAGTGCTCCACCAATGATAGCTCTAGGGGTTTTCCATCCCGGGAGGGATGAGAGGACAGTTCTAATTATTCTTTTCCAAAGACCACTTACTTTTCACTTATTGGTGAAAGCCTTTGTGCAGGATGTCACTCATATTGTTCCTCTTGTATGCTTGCCAGTGACTCAGTGGGACCTCAGCTTGGTTTTATTGGCTCTTCAGAAACCTTCTAATAAGATCCTGTATCCTGTAATGTACAATTAAGGATTAGGAAAATAGGAGTTTTGACTTATCTGTAAAATACTTACATGAACATGGGATTAATGTACTGCTATACCCATTTATTACCTTGAGGAATCTACATTTCACAGGTTCACTTTTTTGTTTAGCAGGTTTCCATTGGACATAGTTACATAGTTAGTCTGGCTAACTAAGCAAAAAGCAATCTACTGAGCTGGCCAGAACCAGCTCTTGAGGGAGTCTATTCCACATTTCCACAGCTCTTATTGTGAAGAAACCTTTCCGTATTTGTATATTAAATCTCTTTGCCTCCAGATGTAAAGAGTGCCCCTTGTCCTCTGTGATGACCTCAGGGTGCATAACTCTACACCGAGTTCACTATATGAACCACTGATGTAATTATACATATTGATCATGCCCCCCCTTAATATCCTCTTCTCAAGAGAGAATAAATTAAATTCCTTTAATATTTCCTCATAGCTGATCTCCTCCATGCCTCTTGTCAGTTTGGTTGCCCTTCTCTGCACTTTCTCCAGTTCCCCAATGTTAATTTGTGAATTGGTGCCCAAAACTGAACTGCATATTCCAGATGAGGTCTTACTAATGATTTCTACATTGGAAAATATCTCTCTGGAGTCAATACCTAACACAAAATCCTAACACTGATGTACAAAGCTGTCCATCATACTGCCCCAAACTACATCACCGACCTAATATCCAAGTACCACCCTACACGCACTCTCCGCTCCTCACAAGACCTCCTTCTCTCTAGTTCCCTAGTCTCCTCTCCTCCCATGCCCACCTCCAGGACTTCTCCAGGGTGTCACCGATACTCTGGAACTCCCTACCCCAATCCATCAGACTATCACCTACTCTCCTCTCCTTTAGGAACACCCTGAAAACCCACCTCTTCAGGGAAGCCTACCCCACCCCCTGCTAATTCCCGACCTCCTCCACTCTTCCTACCACTCCATCCCCACAGCTATTTCCTCCTGTACCACTATCCCCTCCCTCCTAGATTGTAAGCTCCAAGGAACCCCTCGTGTATCGCATTGTATTGTTATTGTACTGTCGCATGTTCTGTCTCCCATTGTAATATACAGCGCTGAGCGAAGTGTTGGCACTTTATAAATACTGTATAATAATAATAATATCTCTTTTTATACAAGAGAGGATTTTGCTCGCTTTAGAATCTGCAGCTTGGTATTGCATGCGATTATTAAGCTTATGATCTACCAGAACTCCCAGATCCTTCTCCACTATTGATTCCCCCAGTTGTACTCCCCCTAGGTATGTATGATGCATGCATATTCTTACATTTATCAACATTAAACCTCATTTGCCACATAGTTCCCCAATTAAACAGTGCAATGAGGTTGGCTTGTAAATTGGAGACATCCTGTAAGGACATTATTCCACTGCAAAGCTTGGTGTCATCTGCAAAGACTGCAATTGTATTTTTAATCCCAGACCCTATATCATTTCTAAATATATTAAAAAGTAAGGTTCCCAAAACTGAACATTGGGGTACACCACTGACAACCCTAGACCATTCAGAGTATGAATCATTAACCACTACTGTCTGAATTCTTTTAGCCAGTTTTCTATCCATTTACATACGGATTTTTCCAAGCCTGTAGATTTTACCTTACACATTAGCCGTGTGTGGGGAACTGTGTCAAATGCTTTTGCAAGATCCAGGTATACCACGTCCACAGCCACCCTATGTCCAAGGTTTTGCTCTTCTCCTCATAAAAAGAAATCAGATTTCTTTGACAACTTCTGTTTTTCATGAATCCATGCTGTATGCTTAAAATATTTTTTCAAGCAAGAACTCATCAATGTGGTCTTTTATTAAACTCTCTAGTATCTTCCCAACTATAGAAGTTAAACTAACAGCTCTATAATTACTTGGTAAAGATTTTGATACCTTTTTAAATATAAGCACCACAGTGGCTTTATGTCAATCCAGTGGTACTATGCCAGTTATTAAAGAGTTCCTAAAAATTAGAAACAATGGCTTTGAAATTACAGAGCTCAATTCTGTAAGGACCCGTGGGTGTATGCCATCCAGGTGTTTTTTGTTTTTTTTTTATCACCTTTATTCTGTCTAAGTATTTCAGGATCATATCAGATGTGAGCCAATGTGTATCATCTGGGGCTGTGTCAATATAATGCCTATTATGGTCAAGAGCTCCCCAATGCTTCTTTGTATACACAGAGCTAAAGAAGGTATTTAATAATTTTGCCTTCTCTTTGTCCCCAGTCACCCACTCTAGATTATTTTGTAAAGGGCCTAGATGCTCAGACCTGACCTTTTTACTATTAATATATTTGAAGAATTTTTGGGGGTTTGTCCTGCTATCTTTTGAAATCTGTCGTTTGTATTTAATTTTTGCGACCTTGATTTCCTTTTTACATATTCTGTTATGTTCTTTGTTGCCCATGGAAATATATTTTGCAGTGTGTTCACATACAGTCTTTTTGAAGAGCTCCCATTTCTGTGTTGTGTTCATCAATGCGAATGTTGTGTTCATCAATGCCAATATTCTCTCCCAGTCCATTTTATGGTCAATGCTACCCAGATGTTCTTATATATGGACATTAGCAATAAGCTCTGCATGGCTTGAGATTAACAGGTCCAGCAGAGCATCATTCCTAGTTGGGGCCTCTATGAACTGTACCATAAAATTGTCCTGTAGTAGGTTTATAAATGTTTTTCCTTTACCTGTTCCTGTAGTGCCATTACTCCAGTAAATTTCAGGGTAGTTAAAATCCCCCATTATTATCACTGTCCCAGCCCTTTCGATCTGTGCAAGGAGCTGAGTCTCCACCTGCTCATTAACACTGGGTGGGCTATAACAAACTCCAATGTTTATCTTTGTAGTATGCACCCCCATGTGCAGTGCCACCCATAATTCTTTAATAAATGAAACTATGCAATGACACCTCTTAGATGTATACTGTAGTAGTTATATGTATTAGTCATCTTTTCCTTCAAGCTATAGAGACCTTTAACAATTTCTGGCAAAATAGATTCATACGGAGATGTTTTTATCCTTGTCATGTTCTTTCACATCAACATGACTTGAATTCACTTATCCAGTTCACATGGCAAGCATTTGCATGTTGGAACATTTGGGAAATACAAATATGCATTGTTTAACAAAGAGCAGAACAAATCCTTCAACGCAACATAAAAGTAATCCTGAAACTTAATCACTGCTTCAAACCACAAGTAGTCTTGTAATCTGCAGCGAAGGAAAACTGCAGAAAACAGCCCCCATTCTTCTCCGACCTTGATTGCTCTGTATGTATAATGTTTAGTCAGCAAAGCATCTCACACTCTGAGGTCAAACCCAAGTACGCAGCCAAAGAGATTTATGATTGTAAGACCAGGGTGAGGGGTTAATGCAGGGTTGGATTGATTTATGTAAACCATCTGTTTTTGTTGTTTTTCTGTTGTTCTACCTATCTATGCTAGTAGTTTAAATAGGAAGTTGACTTGACACGTCTATGTTTTGTCACATTGTCTTACAGACAGGATGGCCATTCACACCCTTATGCACATCTGGAGTGTAGTGTACGCCTGTTGTTGGAAGAAAAGGATCTAGAATTGCTAGCCCTGCAGGAAACTGTACAAGTGAGTAAGAGGTGATTCTACTATGCATGCTCTATGACAACATGTTTGCACTTCAAAGGTCGCATCATTGCCCTGCTGTGTCAGGTAACTACTATTCTATTATTGATTTATGTAAGGCCAACATATTCTGCAGCACTATGGAACATAAGGGGACACATACACGTGCTGAAAGTGTAACATTAAGTGCTTGTTTAAACTTGCTTCAAAATGTAGAATTCAGAGTGCTTTAAAAAAGCGTGTCCAATGCCAATCAAAGCCCCGGTTACTAAATAAAATGGTTAGCTTACATTCCTGTTTACATGTTGCTTTTGCTTTGCTTCACTTCCAAAATTATAACCCATGTCTCTTTCACGGTGCTTCAAGGCGTCTTTGAGGCCTCCATAGAAGTCTATGACAAAGTTCACTTCAGCACCTGCAGCTTTCGAGAGGCTTTTATTCAGCTTTAGCTTTGCTTTGTTTTTGAGGTATTCAAAGTATGAGATATCCCAGGATGCACTGGGAGACCAAGTAAACCAGAAAGATATCATCAGCAGTCACTTCCGAATCATGTATTCTGGGAGTGTCTGGTGCAGACACTCTGGTGTGCAGTGTGGAGCAGCAGAAAAGTGAGCAGGGTCCACACTAGAGTGGAGCAACTAGCAAACGGCACACATGGTAGTGGAAGGTGAGTGGGGACCGGAGAGGGAGGACTGAGCAGCAGAAGGTCAGCAGAGCTGACAGACCATGGCAGTAGAAACTAGCATGTGGTGTACAGCATGGGAGCACTATAGTGGGAGGTGAGGGGACTGGAGAGAGAGGAGGCTCAGTAAACCAGAGAACCAGCAGAGCTGGGGGATTCTATTGAATGGAGGATCAGCAGCGCAGGGGGGTTACTACTAGGGGATCAGCAGAGCTGGGGGTACTACTGAGTCAGGCATCAACAGAGTTGGGAGTACTACTGAGCAGGGGATCTGCTAAGTGAGGGTACTAGTAAGCTGGGAAACTGCTAAATGAGGGTACCAATGCTGAACAGGGGTACTATGGAGCTGGGGATCTGCTGAGTGGGGGTATTACTGAGCCGGGGTTCTACTGGATCCCTTTAAAACAAATAGAAAATCAACACAGGGCATCTGCCAAGCTTTATTAAAGCTTAAAAAAGCATCAGATGACGTAAAAGAAAATTATGACCTGGGAGAGAAATAGAATTATTCCTGATGAAAAAGTTCCATTTCTGTACATACCTGAACATTAATGGGACATGAACTTCCTCTTGAACTATTTATATATTTTGTAACATCTATACTATTGCTATTTCCTAACCATTAGGAAGTGCTGATAGATTTAGCGCTTTGCTTCACATTCTGGTTAATGTTTGTTATGATTGATATATTGTATGTCATGGTTTTTGTTTTGTTTTTTAAAGCAAATTATTATGTGGTAAACATAATAATTTGCTGTAAGGCTCGGTTCACACTAACCCAACTCCAAAGCCGCGTGACTTTCAGTGCAACTTTGTAGTCCGACTTTGATACAACTTTGACGTGACTTTTCTCTGTGGCATTGAAGTAGTGCTGGAACCTTTTCTAAAGTCAGAGTGACTTGTGTAGTATCAGTTAACCATTAGCCGCCCGGCCAATGGCCGTTTTGGCGGCTTCAATTGTGTCCCTGCATTCCGGGTGCACGCCATTTGGCATGCTCCCGCACATGCGCCGTTTGCGCTAATGCAGAGCGGCGCAGCAGTGCGATCTGTCAGCGGCCGTGCACCTCGGACACGGCCGATGACAGATCCGAGTACCGACTCCCGTTGCTGGTACCATGTGACCTGCTGTGACCAATCACAGCAGGTCACATGACAGTTGTATACAATGGATGACTTCATTCATGATGCCATCCATTGTATACTAGTGCCTAGCTGTGAATGGTCACAGCTAATCACATGCACATGTCATGTGATTAGCTGTGACCAAATCACAGCTAAGCACAAAAAAAAAAAAAATGAATCGATTTCATTCAGGTAAATGCTTGCTTATAGCAAAGTAAATCTTTGCTATAAGCAAATTGTGTAAAAAAAAAAAAAAAAAAAAAAATACTGATCACTTCCCCAAAGTAGTACAATGTTACTATGGTAACATTGCACTACTTTGGTCAAAGTAAAATATGAAAAAAAAATCTTAAAAAAAAAAAAATGTAATAAAAAATTAAATATAATAAAAAAATTAAAAAAAAAAAAAAATATATATTTTTTTTTTCATACTGTCACCAGTCAGTGTCCCTGTTCACTGCCATGCCAGTTATATGATGCTGTACTGCACTGGTGACAGTATGTAAAAAAAAAAAATAGTGAAAATAGTTTTTTTAATTTTCTCATTTTCTGAAAAATTATGACAAAAAAAATACAACTTCAAAAAACTCGCCATGCCTCTTATGAAGTACGTCGGACTGTCTACTCTGCAAAAAGGGGTCATTTGGGGGATATCTGTACTGTTCTGACATTCTTGGACCTCAAGAAATTAGATTGGCCGTCAGTACTTCAGGATTGATCAATATTCAGATCTATACCATAGTTTGTGAACTCTATAACTTTCCTACAAACTAAATAATACATCCTAAGTTGGGTTATTTTCACCAAAGACATGTAGCAGAATACATTTCGGCCTAAATTTATGAAGAACAATTATTTATTTGTAAACTTTTATAACAGAAACAAAGAAAAGTGTTTTTTTTTTTTCAAAATTTTTGGTGTTTTTTTGTTAATTTAGCAAAAAATAAAAACCCCAGCAGTGATTAAATACCACCAAAAGAAAGCTCTAGTTGTGTGAAGAAAATGATAAAATTTTAGTTTGGGTACAATGTTGTATGACCGCGCAATTGTCATTCAAAGTGTGAGAGCGCTGAAACCTGAAAACTGGCCTGGGCAGGAAGGTGTAAAATTGCACGGTATTGAAACGGTTAAGATGGCTCTCATTGGGAAACATTGAATTTCACGACAGATCCTATGTTGCAGCAGTGTGAACCAAGCTTAACTGACTACTTATTATATTGTATGGATAATCTTTGACTTTCCCAAAGAATTTGAGTTTCTTTTTTGTATTTTATATGAATTTAATTAATACATTCATACCATCTTACTAGAAATGGATTAAAGGGATGGAAATAAAATGTAGAGGGTATAAATAAGCAGAAATAAAATCGCAAATGTTTGGAAGAAAATAGAATATTCCCAGTACTGTATAGTGAACACTAGTATGGTTACTCATAACCAGGGGCGGACTGACAACTCATGGGGCCCCCGGGCAATAGGGGATCATGGGGCCCCTGTATCCTTGCCCAAACTCAAAAAAGCCTATGAAAAAGGTACCAAGGGCATCTCATGGGGCCCCCTACTGGCCCCGTGCCCTCGGGCAGTGCCCGAGTTTCCAAATGGTCAGTCTGCCCCTGCTCATAACTAATGATTAGTTCAAAAATGTTACTTGCTAATATCACATGTAGATGGTGATGCTGGCATAGGCAGTTGACTCTACCTGGTCCATGAATTCTGTTCTTTCATGTCAAAGTTGCCATTAAATTTTTCCAGAAGCAAACATGGAGGCTGCCATTGATGACTACTAAGTCCATGATTAACATATTTCACAACTTGTTCTGAGAGGGTAAGAAGGAAGGAGATATTGAGGTGCATGGATAGAGGAGTGAGAGTTTACAATAGAGAGAATGTGGCAAGATAGAAACATAAGAGCTAGCATTGCAGCTGTTTTTTAAAAGTCTGTTCTCTAATTTTGACATCCTAATCTCTGCTTTGGTACTTAATGAATCTTTGGAACAGGACAATATCTGTGTATGTATTCGCTTGTCTGTTGATAGTGTAAGCCATTAAAAAAACAATCAGAAATAACAGTTTTCATATTGAAACATTGACATATACCATAAAAACCATTCTGACCATAGACCGTAGAGAAGTGGTCCCCAAACTGTATGTGGCCGTTTGCTTGCCTTAAGCACTATTCCTTCCACTGATACCAGTGATGGGAAATGATTCCCCTGTCCGCTAAATACAGTTGCTGGACCCTTTTTGACTCCCACTGCTTATCAATCTTGGGATATTTTTTCTCCCACTGGGGGGAGGGGTTCAGTCTGTACTCCAACTGATGAATGCCGTGGGGGGGGGGGGGGGATTTTCTTCTCCCAACAGCCACAGCCTGGCCGATTCAAGGTCTGAAGGACATTGAACTGGCCCTTTGTTTAGAAGGTCTGAAGACCTCTGTTATACAGATATGGACTAGATGGATGATGTAATTTGCCTATGCTTTATGTCCTTGCAATATGTTTATAATGGAATGCTGTTTTCTACCTCAAACCATGCTTAGACACCCATTTTATGGGCTGAAATGCAATGTTTACTATCTGGAAGAACACCATCATCATTATGTTATTAATAGCAACATAGTTGGTAAGGTTGAATGAAGACACAGGTCCTTCCAGTTCAACCAATATGTGTGTGTGTTTCCATATCCCTGTATACAGTGGGGATCAAAAGTTTGGGCACCCCAGGTAAAAATTTGTATTAATGTGCATAAAGAAGCCAAGGAAAGATGGAAAAATCTCCAAAAGGCATCAAATTACAGATTAGACATTCTTATAATATGTCAACAAAAGTTAGATTTTATTTCCATCATTTACACTTTCAAAATAACAGAAAACAAAAAAATGGTGTCTGCAAAAGTTTGGGCACCCTGCAGAATTTATAGAATGCACTGCCCCCTTTGCCAAGCTAAGACCTGCCAGTGTCCTGGATTGTTCTCAATCATCGTCTGGGAAGACCAGGTGATGTCAATCTCAAAGGTTTTAAATGCCCAGACTCATCTGACCTTGCCCCAACAATCAGCACCATGGGTTCTTCTAAGCAGTTGTCTAGAAAACTGAAACTGAAAATAGTTGACGCTCACAAAGCTGGAGAAGGCTATAAGAAGATAGCAAAGCGTTTTCAGATGTCAATATCCTCTGTTCGGAATGTAATTAAGAAATGG